TTAATTTTATTTAAAGGGGTTTAGTGAACCACCATCCCTTTTCTCTCTCTTTTTTTTAAGATGGAAAATATAAATACGTCGATAATTTAAGCAATTTCTCCCTTTTTATTATCCACTTATGCTAAATGAATGGAGATTTGAAATTTTTTCTTCTTTAATGGCACAAACGAATAGAAATGAATTGCGAATTGATATTTGATTCCATCTCATTTTTCATTTATGAAAAATCTAAAACATGATCGCATTGAATGCTGGTTGAACAATGGATCTTAATTATTGATTTTCCCTCCAATACACATAAACGTACAACACACTGATACTTGGGCACGTTGGTCAGTCGAACGCAACGGGCAGTTTATCCTCAACTCCTATCTTACACATAAGGCTATACTAGACTAAGCAGTATGCGGGACACGCAAAACCTGCCAAAAAACCCCTTTGGGGAAAAATTGGAGGAAACGTGTACCCCCCACCAGACAATACTGTAACCTCGGAGGTAAGAGGTTCTTAATCCTAGGCATAGCAAGATAATAATAATACAAATAATGTGCAAATACGTATAACTTTAGTAGAGTATAACTCGAAAAATTCGCTAACGTAGTCGATAGATCGACGTTCACTGACCGTAGATGGCTAACATTCGTTACAACCTTCCTTATATACCTCTACCCAGAGTGCATTGTGGCACTCAATTCCCTACAGGTTTCTGTTCCATGCCGGCAAAATATCCATTTATGTTTATTTCGTTCCTCATATACATAAATTACATTTTGCAGGACCAAATCTACCAGCAGATTATGGGTATGTTTATGAAGATCACCATCGATGCTGGCTCCATGGCGTACTCTCGTGAACCCTCGGCTGACAGGGAAACAACACAAGGATATAGGTAACTGTACCAATCACTGAACAGCATAACCAGCCCCAACACCTGTATTTGAGATTGGCCGTTGCACACATGCTACTTTCTTAGAACAATGCGTCCGCCACATTGAAAAGTGGGACTCGAATCACTAAATTATAACTCCTAAAGGAATTAAAAGCTTCTCAGCTAATGTCAAGTTAATATAATACGATATAATGATAGATTAGTTGACTTACTAACTACGAAATGTGTTCGAAGGCACAACATAGTGATTCCGGTCTCACTTTTCAA